TTGCCGCATCGATTTCAAACTCCCTACTACAATCCTACACTAACTCAAGCCAATTTCATGTCTCTCTCCCTCCATTCATTCATTCCACCCGCAGTCATGCCACGTGGACGAACTTGGTGTCTGCAACCCAGCTTCGGCTTCGAGCACCACCATCTTGTCGGCGAGGCCTGTGCTCTTGCCGGGCGCCAACAGCGACATCATTTACAAGCAGCGGCTGCTCGTCATTATCATGGACTACTCTGCCTGCCGTGCACCAGCCGCTCTATCAGAATTCGGGGCACGGAACATCTTCATGGGCAAGCCTAGCCCTGTGGGCCTAGGCAGCGGCATCACACAAAAGTACTTGCAGTGCTCGTACGGCAAGCTCAACATCACGGCGTTCAAGGCAATCACAGTGACCGCCAACTGCAGCAGCAATGAGCCGGGGCCGTCATTCTCTACATGCCCCGTGTTGAGGTTCATTAAGGACGGGAGCAGCGGTGCCAAGGACATCCTTGGTGAAGACGCATTCCTGTCGGACTTTAGTCATTACGTCTATGTTCTTCCGCCGGGGGTGAATGAATTCTGTCGCGGAGACTGGGCAGCAGTGCCGGGGCGGCAGATTGTGCTGCGGACGTTGTTGGGCAGTTTGGAGCGCTGGTCGGCAACACTGGAGCTGACGCTTCACAACTTCGGTGAGGCGCGAATGAATTAATTCGACTAGTGGGGGGAAGGCAGTAAGTAGGGTGCAAGACGGAGGAAAGGAGCGAATGGATGGCTGCGCGGAAGCTAGCAAACAGTGTAACTGAACGACATAAGAAAGAAAACGAGGGGATGTTGTCAGATGGATGACTCAAGAGGGCTCCTCGTGCTAACATTTGCCTCCTATAGATTATCTGTAATAGATAGCACTCCTAGTATTAGCTCGGCATTTTGTATGCCAGCCACGGCGGGCCGCTTTTTTGCTTCATCTGGCAATAATCTGATGTATGAAAACTTAAGAGTGATATTGAGTTGCATGGGGTTCTGCTCTTGGGGGTGCATGCTTGAGGCGGTAATTGCCAGGGCACTGGATGGATGGATGCCGTGTTTATTAACTTCTGACGCCATCAGCACGCAATGCATACACAACCACACACACGCGGGCGCGCGGGCGCCCGCCCACCCCGACGCAGGTCTGTGGCACTCATGGCAAGGCGGACATGAGTTCGAGGACGGTTCAAGCCCCTCGGGCCGCAAAGACGTCTGCCCCAACGCCCCCGAGCTAGCCTACCTGGGCTGGACATCGCCAGTGAAAGGCGGAGGCCAAGTCGACGCAAACACGCTGCCAGTGGGCACGGTCCGCAGCTTCAACCTGCCCGCCACCTACCTGACGTCGGACGGACACTTCGTTAGGGTTGTCCCCGACTGGTTGCCGACGTACAGCAACCGCACCGGTGCCAAGAACCTGTACATCGCCGTACGAGTCAACAAGGGCGGTGATGCGCTTCTGGCAGCGCCGTACGCAAACGCGGTCAATGTCCACGAGGTCAACGCGACCATGGTAAGTTACTTGCTATCTTATAATAACAATGATAATAATAATAATAATAATAATAGTAAAATAATAGAAACAATAATAATATAACAACTTAAATATTAATAATAGTATTAATAATAACAGTAATAATAATAGTATAATAATAATAATA